CAAAAAAAAAAAAAAAAAAAAGTATTAACCCTTTGCACCTGGACACATCTTGAAGGTCACCTACTAACAACTCAACCATACTTTTTAACGGAAAAGTAGAAAAAGAATCACTTCATATTAAATGGTACAGTGTTGGAAGCAATTATTTTATTGTAATGCTATTTGGCTTATAATGGAATTTTGGACATTGAGGAACTTATTTATGACCAAAAAATAAAAATAAAAATTTTATTTATTTATTTTGAGTTGGAGTCTCACTCCCTCGCCCAGGCTGGAGTGCAGTGGCACACTCACAGCCTACCCCAGCGTCAACCTGCTGGAATCCTGCGATTCTTCCACCTCAGCCTTCCAAGCAGCCGGAACTACAGGTGTGCGCTAGCACACCCGGCTAATTTTTTGATTTATTGTAGAGACGAGGACTCACCAAGTTGCCTGTACTGGTCTCAAACCTGCGGGCCTCAGGCAATCTACTTGCCTCGGCCTCCCAAAGTGCTGGGATTACAGGCTGAGCCACCGAGCCTGGCCAAAATTTTATGTCTTATATTTTTCTAATGGCAGTAACATGTGAAACAGTCACAGCCATGCATTGTAGGTTCATTGATATATGTTGTACATTAGGAATGTATTTGATGCCTTCCACCTGCTGTTTTTCTATTCTAGCAGACAATGCAATCTCGGTTTCTTCCTCCCACATTAATAATATGTAATTTATTGCTGAGTCTGTTGTTCAAAGAAAATGTAAAAGGACGCACTCATGATTCCTGAAAACCACTTCTGAACTGATCAATCATATCTCAGTGTATCCCATCTCTTTATTTGCTTTTTCATGCAATTTGAATGAAAAATTTCAAGGAAACATACATTTGTTTAAAAGTTGTGCTTGCATAAGTTTGTCCTGTATAATCACCAGCAATCTCTTTATGTCCCCTGAGAGGGGACATCTAAGTGGTTTGTTAGATTTACAGTGTTCCCTCGACGGGGGGGACATCCGAGTGCAAAGAACTAATATATATATTTTTGCATTATTTGCTAAAAAAAAATACAAGTAAAGACATGCTCAATTTTACATAAAAAAGAAAAGCCTGCTGTATAAATTGAATGTGTATAAAATGAACAAATGGCATATGTATTGATCCGTTCTCCTTACTGAGTTCCCTATTCGGGTTAATGCTGTCACCATCATTCCAGCCACACAAGAATCACTGAAGTCTTCACTCCTCCCGACACCATCCACACCCAGGCATTCACCAGGTCCCAAACGTTCTACGGTCATTCTACCTGAGGCCTCCACTGGGAGGGTGCAGGATGGAATGGGAGAGGTCAGGAGTCCAAGACAGAGTTGGCTCCACTACCACCGCTCGTTACTATGTTGCCTTGAGCAAATGACTCTACCTCATCTACAAATAGACACACCACAATCAAGTTTGAAGATGTGGTCAAAATCCATCAAGATAACATATGTGAAGTACTGGCCATACCACGCTTGCCACCAAATGCACGGTCAATGTTAGCACTCAAAAGAACACCACCTGTCTTCTTCCCCTCCGTCCCTGCCTGAGGCCAATCTTCACCTGTTAGTCTTCTAGTCCTTTAGTCTTCACCTGCTCTATGACAACTATCTTCTAGTCTTTCTGCCCTCTGGACACTGCTGACAAGGCTCACTTTCTAAAATACAAATGAACCAAGTAATTTCCCTGTTTAAATCCTGCCTCTGGCTCCCAACTACCTACTACCTATAGTTCCAACTCCTTAGCATGACTTATGAGGCCTAGCTCAACCTGCCTTTCTGGCCTTATCTTTCTCCACAGTTCCCTGTACTTTACACTCCAGTACCAATGCTTCTCGACTTGTGATTGGATTCGTCCCAATAAACCCACCATAGGCTGAAACTATTATGAGTCAAAGAGGTATTTAATACACCTAACCTACCGAACATCATACCTTAGTCTAGTCTACCTTACATGTGCTGCTCAGAACACTGATTTTAGCTACAATTAGGCAAAACCATCTAACATGAAGACTATTACAAAGTGTTAAATATCTCTTATAATTCATTGACTACTGCACTGAAAGTAAAAACAGAATGATTGCATGGGTACTCAAAGATACTTTCAAAGTACCAAATTCGTATCACTTTTCTCACCATTAAAAGGTGGAAAAATCACAGGTTGAAGCATCGTAAGTTGGGGACAATGAAACGTGTGCTTTCTACTGAATCTCAAGCTCTTTCACGGTGCTTTGCCTTTGTGTAGGCTATTCCCTCTTCCAGAAAGCCTTTCCCTTCTTTTCTTCTAAGCAAAAATTTCTATTCAATCTTCCAAGACACAGCCCAACTGGTACTTATTTTAAAAATTAAAATAAATAAATAAATAAAACCCACACAGAATTAATTACCCTGTCAACAATGCTCCCATAACAGTTTTTACTGCTATTCTTAAAACCACTAGGCCGGGTTTGGTGGCTCAGCCTATAATCCCAGCACCTTGGAAAGCCAAGGCAAGTGGATTGCCTAAGCTCGTGGATTTGAGACCAGCCCGGGCAACTTGGTGAGACCTCGTCTCTACAATAAATGAAAAATTAGCCAGACATGGTAGCGCTCACCTGTAGTTCCGGCTACTTAGAAGGCTAAGTTGGAAAGTTCGCCAGAGTCTAGCAGGTCAACACTGGAGTGGCCGTGAGTGTGTCACTGCACTCCAGCCTGGGTGACAGAGTGAGACTCCAATTCAACAAACAAAACTAAAATCCACTTACTTGAACTCTAACTTTCTCCACTCACTGAGGCAAAAACTCTATCTTATTTTTTTCTTTATTAACTCCCAGAAACCTAGGTCATCTGTGTTTTCAGCACTTTAATGAATAAAATAAATAGAATTTTTGTTTTAAAGAGGATTCTATTAACTCTTTCAACAAAGAAAAGCATCTTCTAATCATGTTAATCAGACTTCCAAGGTTTTTTGTTGCTGTTGTTTTATTGGGTTTTTTTGTTTGTGCATTTGTTTTAAGTTATGTGCTACTACAATGAAACCAGTTTGCCCTACTGGCAACTTCAAGGGTTTATGGGGTAGTTCAAGAGCCAGCTAACCTCTCTAGTTCTAATTAAACACAAGCCGGCTGACAGACCCTTTGAAACTACTCTTCCTCTGGTGCTGGTTGTCAACCATTATCAGGAACCAAAAGTATTATACATTATTTTGAAAGAATGTATCTTCCAGGATGTAGACTTGTTCTCAACCAACAATTTTCTTCCAGAAGTGCAAACATCCTGCTACCTCCTCTCTCCAAATAAGTAAGTTTGATTCTATTATAGTTTGCTCTTGAAGACAGAAAACACAGTTCAGAAAAGAAAAACAAAATTCAGCAAGGTTATCTGTATAGGCTGAGATACTAAAAAAATAATAATAATAAAATAACCCTCTTGTAACATAAAACCTCCCTAAAGTACACACAATTCAATTTCATGTATGGTGGTGTGTATCACACACTCCCTGAGCTAAAAGGCAGCACTGACAGAAGAAACTCAAAATCTCAGGTAGCCAGAGATGGTAACAGTTGCTCTCATTAGAACTATGGAAAAGTTACAAACTAAACATTATGTCCTTAGTCTTACCATCTTTTTAAAGAATTCAACATGCAAGTCACCAAAATAGTTCCTAATTTTAGAACATGCGTTATGATTTAAGAACCAATATTCCAAAGATGATTTTAATAACAATTTATTTCACTTAAAAAAGTAAGTGTTTTTCTCATGTCATTTTACAACAAGAAGGAGAAAAGAAGAGGCTTACAGAGAAAGAAATCGCCAGATTTCAGCTCAAATACTAGAACCTGGGATTAATTTTTTTTAAGATTTGTTTGTCAATTTCAAAAACTCAGTAGTGGAATAAAGAGCTTAATACAGGTATGCAAAACGGAAGCCCCTGAGACATTTTCACCAGGATGAAATGGGATTAGCTTTGTAGTTCTTATAATCTTCTTCACAGAAGAATGCAATTTCAGTTTCACTGGCTGAAAGAAAAACAGAAATGAAAAAAAGATTTTAATGTAAAACTAAATTTTAAACAAATGTGGAAATCCATATTACCTGAATTCGGTATTTTAGAATAGCTTCAGATGCCTAAAGTGAAAACGATGAGTTATTTGCCAGATTGCACAATATATTTTACCAAATCAACAAGAAATTAAAGGTGCAGTTATAAGAATCTACAACTTAGATAATTTAAAAGTAGAAAGAAAAATAACCCCCCAAAATTAAAATCAAGCATTAACACAAGAATCCGGTTTTCAGGAAATTATAAAATCACTCATTTATGGTTCTCTTTAAAGTCCTAGGAAATAACAAACCTTGATTTTTTTTTTTTTTTTTCAAATATGCTACTCAGTTACTGAAGGAGGGGGAGGGGAAACTTTTTTCCCCCCTGAAATTAGCCTGTAGGTATAATAATTTAATACTTAGAGGATCAGTAGAATATTTTACAGATCACTTTACATTCTCCCTCATGACCCATCAAAATATGTGTCTGAAGAAGTTAATTTTTTGCCCTGCCTATGATTAATTCATGAGGCTTCAACAATATGCAAAGCGAAAGACACAAATTGGCTTCTACCTCAATACCTTCAAATACCTCTAATTATTCACAGGGGAGGTGGCACAGCTAAAGGACCCGAAGGTTCAGAGCAGTCACAATTCTTTCAACCTAGCAGGTCAAGGACTGCGTCTTCTAAAACAATAAGTCAGCAACATTATTAATTCAGACTGGAGACAAATCTGATGGAAAGCCTTCCAATTATTAAACATGCAATTCTTTAAGGTGTTGTGCCAACAAGTTCCACATTCATTTTTTAAATTAAACCAGAAGTTAATACAGTCTGCTTGGCTTTTACAGAAAGAGCAAAAGGGCCTTCAAAATCTCCACAAGAAAACAGACAAGATTATTTGTAATGAATACTGAGCACTCAATTAACATAGACTCTAAAAACAGACAAGTAAAACTCTTCAAGTCAAATAAATACGATAATAAGAAAGAGTGCCAAGGATTACCACTGGTCTCTTAGTTTACAACTCTCATCTCATCATTAGAATTTATCACAAAAGAATGAAATTAAAGAGATTATCATGCCTTTTCATTAAAAATGTTTTTGCTGTTCTTAAGATTATCAAATCTAATGTCTTTCAATCATGAGCTACCCATGCTAATTACAGAAAATAAACAAGTGTTGAAAGAAGACAATAAAACCACCTAAAGTCTCAGATCATCATTCCAGTCCTATACCATATCTTCAAGATTCCATTTAATCTGAGCGAATGAAAATCAGACTGCAAACTCTCACCCCAAGGAGCCTGCAGAGGACACAGCAGAGAGAAACTGGGAACCGATGGGGAAACGCTGTGAACAGATGCACCCTGGGTCAACAGTAAGTCAATGTACAGTTAAATCTTACAAGAAAACAGCATTAAAAAGAATGAGTGTTAAAAAATAAAAGTAAAAAAAGGAAGAGGGGGCTTCAAAAAATTCAATACCCAAAGATGAGATATTTGGAAATCTATCCTTTACACAAAAAACTCCTGGGTTTTCCTTTCTTGAAGGGAAGCATGCCCACAGGGAGACTTACATCATGGGCAAGTGATTCTAATCAACCTTCTAATGGAGAACGAGCAAAAGACATCCTGTTCCTAATCATCACAGAGTGAGGCTTTTTCTGCGATGTGCTATTTACATACAGAACCTCACACAGTGCTTTGCTCACACAGCACTTCACTCAATCCACGCTAACTGTAATTACAATTTTCACTTACGGCCGCTGACATTTATCTGCACCCCTTTTGAGAAAATAATACGTCGTGCAGCTCTCCAGACAGCAATAACAGGTTCAGAAGAAGAGGATGGAAAGCAAGGACTGACAAAGCAGTTGTATTCTGACACACAGGTTCTCGTGGGTCTAATTAACTTATCGATCGATTCATTATTTACATAGGTATTTATGCCATCTCTCATAATATAGGCTCAAAACGAGATAATCTAGGGTAAAGATTTCATTTTCAGATGATTGCAGTTTTTTTTTCAGAAGAACTAGTTGATAAATGGGTTAAACTCAAATACTTCATATTGATAAAATGCTTTACTCTACACATTGGAAAACACACTAATTAAAAGTAATTCTGAACATTAAAAAGTAAACATATGATGGATTTTAAACTTTAGCAGTACTGTCCTTAAACAGAAGAAGACTACAACACCTCTTAAAAATCTGTAAAACTCTGTTCAAAATGTCTGAATGATTTCAGAGACTTAATCTGCGAATTTATTTGCCAATTTAAGTTCAGTCATAGATGATTTTTCAGGCCCCCACATCATTACTCTTTCCACCATTCTCCCTTAAATTCCTGCTTTCCAAATACTATTTAAAATGGCTCCTTAAAAATGGCTGGGGATGAACCCTCAGGAAGTCTACCGTGTGCTGGTCCCCTAAGGGCACCTGATTTTAAATTAAATGTGCTGCAGGCGGCAGTGCAGTCAGGTGCAGAGTGCCTTGGCATGGGAATCTGAAATGAATGTGCAATCTAAAAATCCAATAAATACATCGCCACTTCATCCCTTTGTCTTACTATCAAACGATATCAAGAACTCTCCAAATACATTTGTAGGATCATTTTAATACATCCAAGTTTAATGAAATGAACATGAGCCAGGGCATTCAAACTTTGGATATAAAATTAATAATTTTTAAAACGCTTCCCAACAGGTCAGACATGCACAGACACACACACACACACACACACACACACACACACACACAACTTTAAAAGGAAAATAATGATGATTTTAAATGATAAAAAGTAAGATCAATTTTAACTGTAAAATCCCAAGAAAAATTAAACGTAATGTATTTAAATACTTCAACTAATTTATCTCTATAACTCATCATCAGCGATGATTCATCAACCTACTTTCAAAGTCCCTGGCCTCTGCTGTCTGGGAAAGGGAAACTAAGACAAGTGCACTGACTTTGTGGGACAGACAATCCATGATCAGGCTGCCAAGTGACTATAACTGCAGATCGTTGACCAAAAAAATGCATGAAGCGTAAGTTGTGGCTTCTGTGGCAGTCTGAGACCAAAAGGACAAAGCTTTCCCCTTCCTCCTGCTCTAGGAGCATAGCCTATCCTTCCAAATTTCACAAAATCCTGATCTACAAATCATTCACAGCTGTGCTCACAGCCGCGTTATAGTTCCAAGTTTTTGCCAAAGGAGGCCAACAATTCAACAAAGAGGCCCCACCTGCTGTGCTTTTTATTTTATTGCTTGCTTCAAATATCTGTTTTGGATCAGCTGGCAGAGATTTCGAACTACAGTTGGAAGAAAACAGCGAAAAATAAAATAAAATAAAATCTAACCTCTGATAGACTGGACACATGCCTGAAATTTCCACAACAACGAGGGGGGAATAAAAAGGGAAGAACACTCTGCGGAGCTCCGTTCTGATTCCCTGTTCTGGAATCTCCCAGTTCCCTGGGTCTACCACCCATGTTACCCAGGAACCAGACTGTACCACCATTTCGATGTAAACTTGAAGAATGGCCATGGTGATGCGAGCCAAAGAAGAAAACACGCATGCCCTAAGATATTACTGTTCAAAAAAAAGGAGGGGAAAGGCACCCACACCTTAAGGAGACACAAATCAAACACGATCCTGATAAAGAAGCGGGAGCCAAAGAATCCTAAGATATTAGCTACACGTCTGAAATGACAAAAAGGGACAAGGCATGGGTTCTGGTTGGGGGCAGACCAAAGGGCCACACAAAATGAAAACAAACCACAAGGGGGTTTTGGAATTATTACAGGCACTGGTTTGACGAGAATGCTTCCCTCAGATAATCACTTACAGTTTGGTCCAATGTATCTTGTTTTAAAGCATTTCCAATAAAACACAACCGGCTTTGGAAGCATTTCCCTACCACAATCTCTCTCTTATTAAATCAGGACAGATTCGAAGATAATGGTGGAATGTAAATGAAAGAGAAAATATCACTAGTAATAATAATGATGATAATAATAATAATAACATGCAAATGTATTACTTAGGAGAATTAGTCCACAAGACTACAAGGTAAAAATATATGTATTTAAATTATAAGTAATACTTCTGTGTAAAAGCCTCCTCTTTCGCCCACAAAGCAAATCTTTTTAATATGTATTTTAGTACTAAGTCCACAAGCAAAAACTTCCACTGACGTCAGGTGTAGAATATACAATAGGGATCTGCAGTGCAGATAAAGGGCCAGGATGAACTGGAGAATTTCTCTGTGAGAAAAGAAATCTTCAGACAAGTTTTTTCTCCTAATTTCCCCACTCGCAGCCTTTCTTTTCCTTTCATGACTCCTGCAGAAAAGTCCTAATGATAAATTTGTTACACTGGCATTATTCCCATGGCAACTGGCTGTGATAGCAGACTGACAGCTCTACGGCAAGATCAAGTGGTGAAAAGGAAGACAGAGATGACTTTGAATTTTTCTCTTAAGAACCTAACCAGACACAGCACTGAGGGAGGGGAAATTCCCTAGAAAAATCGCATACTTCAGGTATCATTTTTACAACTAGACTCTCAGAGATTTTTGTTGCTCTCCGGGGACCCCTATCACTTTCCCCAGGTAGAACCTCGGCTTGTCCCCTGGAGCACAGCAACACTGCTCTAGACGGCAAGAGGAAATTGCTCCTTGCAGGGACCCAGGTAGTCCTGTGCCCACGGCTGCTGGCTGGCCAGGGTCAGGCGGGCAGTTTGGAGTCCTCACCCCACCCTAAAACCAGTGAGAAGTCAGGAAAAGGATTGACTCTGATCCAAGACCTATGGCCGTAAAACAAGAATTTTAAAAAGAGGGATTTGAGTCTCACTTTTATAGTTGGTTGCATTAAATAAGGCAGTCTGGAATTAATGACAATGAGACCAACAACTCAACGTTTTAGTAAAGTCAAAATATTTGCCAACTGCCTTCTCCAGGAGAGCTTCCAAATAAAACAGGTGTTTTTCTGGAGCCTTTTACATGCATTATTCCAGATGTCTTCATTATTTTACATAATCCTTATGACAGCGTTCTGAAATAGGTTTCATTATTCCCATTTTTACGGGACACAAAATAGAATTTCAGAGAGGCTAAGTAGCTTACAGAAGGTCACAAAGCAAGTAAAATGTGCAGCCTTCATTCAAACCGATTTCCCCTAACTTTAAGAGTTTATTCTTTAAAAAAAATAAAAAAGAAATTGGTTCCTTAATTACAAGGAACACAAGTAAACTGTAGGAAATTTTTTAAATCACAAGAAGAACAATTAGATAATACAGAGAGGAAAGGAAAATATCCATTACTGACAATACCACCATCCGGAGAAACCATCTCTACAATTTTTTGGCATATGATCTTTTCTCCATACACACATATACACATGTAAATATATACATTTTTAAACAATAATGGAATCACACAACATATTCTATTTCCATCCAATAAATAAAGCTCTACATCAGTGATTCACAAACAGGGAAAGATATCCCTCTGAAGACATCCCTGTTGGCTTAGTAATAAATATGACAGAAAGTTAAGCTTGAGAAAGTCTTACTGGCTAAATGAACCTACACAAAACTAGAGGCAATATTTATTCCCAACAATGGTACAAGAGAGTATCCATTCTCCTACACCATGAACTCTCTTGGATACTATCACTTTTTTTCATGTCTGCTAATTTCATAATAATTGATGCTCACCTAAGGTCACTCAGACATAAGAGGCAGAATCAGGTCTTGAACCCAAGCGCTCTGGCTCTGGACTCTAATTCTTAACCACTAGATTCCACATAAAAGAGTATCTATTTTAATGTGCATTTCTCTCAATATTGATAGAGTAGCACTATTTTTCATGTTAGCTACTTCTATCAGCAGAATTTCTTTATCTTTCTCATGCTAATTGTAAGAGCACTTTATAAAGTCAGACTAATAACTTTTTATCTGTTGTACATCCTGTAAATAATTCTTCATAGTTTATTGCTTCTCCCTTAACTTTGTTTACAGTTTTTGGTTTTTATGTGGTCAAATCTATCACTCCTCCCCCTTTGTGGGTTCTGCCTTTAGGGTCCTGCTTAGAAAGCTCTCCTCCTCCAGATTATGAAATTATTGAACTATATTTTCTTTTCTAAAAATTTTACTTTATAACATTTAATCCATCTGCAATGCATTTCGTAATAAAGATGGACATAAAAATTTGAATTTTACTTTCCTGAACGCTTTGGCAATGGACTTGATATAATTTTCTGGTTAACTCATTCTTTCCCCACTTATTTGAGATGCCAACTTTATCGTTGTGTAAAATTTTACTTTTCTTTTTAGTTTGTTTTTGGATTTTCCCTGCTTTTCCATGGAACTGTCTGTCAATTCCCTCATTAATGTCAGTCCGCAATATTCATTATTACTTTACACTTTAGCAACAAGAAAAGCTACCTTCTAGGTACCATGTGCCTTAATAACACAGATGCACTTGCCACGATAATATAATAGTGTTTGAAGAAGCAAGTGCCAACCTAAAAATTGTTTTTCAAATTAACAACAATCAACCTTATGTATTCACAATATGGAAAGACCGACTCTAGCAAATACTGTAGACTTCAACACAGAAAACAAGTATAAGATTTCACAGCATATTATTTAAGCTCCTATTTAAATCAGAGCATCTATGTCAGGGATTCGCCTTAGTCATGAGTCACTCAAAAGTCAATTCCTGACAATTGTGATTCAAGTAATTCAATAGAACACCCATCAAAAAAAATAAGGCCTCCCAGTGTGGACCTCACTTACTGTGTTCCTTAAGCAGTGTGTATAAGTTATTAGGAAGTGTGATTTGTGACACTCCATCACAGTCACCAACCACAGAGATGTGTCAAAGGCACAATGTCTTCAACTGCTCAGACCTCTCTGATAATCTTCAATCCTTCTATTGCCAGGTCATCTTTAGGTGTACAGATAAGTAGAATAACAGTGACACCTAATGGTCACAAAACATTTCACATAACATTTCTTTAAAATAGAACTACATGCACATTCTGGTTCTAAAGGCCAAATTGGGTAATTTTTTAGCTGCGCACACCAGCCTCCTATTTTAATTCCATGTCTTGGTGGGCCCTGAGTGATTTGGAAGACTATCAGAAACCACACTGCACATTATACAAACAACAGCTCATTTCATTATTCCTCATTAGTTCTACCATGTCCATTTCTCTCAAACCATCAGCTTAATGATGGTAAGAGTAAGTGGACAAGGTATTAATAACCTGTCAATCACTTTAAATGACTCTCAGCAGAATTCTGAGCAGACCTTCTGGAAAGAACTATTTGCATTCTGAACATTTGGAGAGCAGACATCAACTGCCCTTGGTCAAGTGATCAGAATGCACATCATTCTCATCCTCCTTCTCTGAAGAGCTCATCGCACAGTGTACAGAACTCTAAAGGAAGCACTGACTTTGCAGTGAGCTTTCCAAACACAATCAGCCAGGCCTACTCAGGGGCCAGGAAAGTGAGTGATCCCTCCAGCGACACAAGGGCCCCTTCCTCACCGATTCCAGCTGCCTTCAGAGTGCTGTCTTCTTTTAGCAGGTATCTGTCGTCATCTTCCAAACTCAACACAAGTTCATTTGTCTAAAAAGAAAGAAAATCTGCATTTTATTAGTACTTCCATGGATTTCATATTTGGTACAAAGACACAGAGTTGTTACTCTGAGTCACAGCAATAATCTAAGTCACAGTCTACTCCCACTTCCACGATGAGGGAAGGGGGCAGATAGAGAGTGATACCTACTAAGAGCACACGCTGTGTAAAGCACTGGAGGGACAGTGCTGTCGTATGTGCTTTGGCGTCAGTTCTAGATTCAAATCACCAGTACCCAGTTGTGTTCTCAATAAACTACATAATCTCTCATGGACTCAGTTTCTTCAACTGTAGAAAAAGGGCAGAGAGTACCTCTTCCTCATCGTCCTGTGTTAAGGAAGACATGAGATGAAGCATATAAACTCTCAGCAAAGTGTCGGCCACACAGCAAGCACTCCCTGTTAGCTGTCACTGTCTAGCTGTAGCATCGTCTTTCCATGTCATCCTTACAATCACCTGGGAGGGATCAGAAGGGTTAAGAAAGAGGCTCTGGGAACATGGCCAGGCGGGGATGGAACTAAGGTACAAGCTCTGACAGTTCTGACTTCTGAGAGAAGCCAGTTTATTTCCAATGACCAAAAGTCCACCAATATAAAAACCTTGCCCCAGCTAATATCATTTGGTTTCATTTCATGTCAAAGTAACTGGAATATTTTTCTATGAGATTTGGGGTGAGGATAATGAGGGTGCACGCCAATGATATTTACAAATCCAGTTAGACTTCATAAATATTGGGGAAAATTTAGAGTTGATATGTGCCCCTAAATAGAACATAGAAGTAACCACTAGTTGGGTACACAGTACCACTTGTCAACCAGAATGCAGCTGTTCAGCAATGTATTCTGTTTCTAGAATATGACAGACAGACAGTGTCAACAGAAAGGCCTCTCGGCAGCCAAAACAAAGCCTCAGAAGCCGTAAGCCACAGTCCAGGGTTCCCAGACTCCATTAACTGGAGAGCACAGGAGTTTGAACTACAGAACGCAGATCAAATGGAAACAAAACAAAACAACTTTACTTTAAAAAGTCATTTTACATGCCGAAAGGAAAAAAACAAACAATGGTCTTTTGACCATTAAAAAGTGGTCAAAAGACATGAACAGATACTTCTCAAAAGAAGATATATGGGCAGTTAACAGACACATGAAACACAGACACATCATCATCAGAGAAATGCAAATCAAAACCACACTGAGATATACCTAACACCAGTAAGAATGGCCATCATTAATAAAACAAGCAACAACAGATTCTGGTGAGGATGTGGAGAAAAAGGAACGCTTCTATTCTACTGGTGAGAATGCAAACTAGTGCAACCTCTTTGGAAGACAGTGTGGCGATTTCTAAAAGAACTAGAAATTGACCTTCCATATGACCCTGCAATCCTCCTACTTGGAATATACCTGAAAGAACTCAAAGCATTCTACAAAAAGATACCTGCACACGTATGTTTACTGCAGCACTATTCACAATAGCAAAAACATGGAACCAATCATGCTACCCATAGAAACTGGACCAGATAAAAAAAAAATGCGGTCCATATACACCATGAAATATTACATAGGCATAAAGAAAGACAAATATAAGGACTTTGCAGCAACTTGGATAGATTCAGAGTCAATAATACTCAGTGATCTACCACAGAAACAAAGAACAGAGTACCACATGTTCTCACTCATAAGTGGACCCGAACACTTACCATAATATTATAAGAAAGGGATTGGCGACCAGGCTTGGTGGCTCAGCCTGTAATCCCAGCACTTTGTTAGGCCAAGGAGAGTGGATTGCCTGAGCCCAAAGGTTGGAGACCAGCCCAGGCAACTTGGCAAGACCTCATCTCTACAATAAATAAAATTTTTAAAATTAGCTGGGTGTGGTAGCATGCACCTGTAATTCCAGCTACTTGGAAGGCTGAGGTGGAAGGATCACCTGAGCTCAGCAGGTCGACACTGGGGTGGCCATGTGCATGCCATTGCACTCCAGCCTGGGCAACAGAGTGAGACTCCAACTCAAAAAAACAAACAAACAAAAAAAAAAAACAGAAAGAAAGGGATTGGCAGTAGTGGGATACTGCCAGGTTTGGGGTGATGGGCACACAACATCAATAAGGGTACCTGATCTCAAACCAGGCAAAGTGGGGACCAAAGGGAGGCCCAAACTTTACCTATACGTTGTCCACTTGTATACCTGATCCTGAATTGTACTCCACATCTTTAAAATAAAATAAAACTTAAACATAAAATAAAAACAAAAAATGTTTTAAAAAGTTACTTTGGAACAGCTAATACATACTCCTGATACAAAATTCTTCAAGCACATGTAGATAGAAAGTGAAAAGTAAGTTTCCTCCCAAACCCTATCCACCAGCTACCTAGTTACCCTCCAGAGAACTTGTGCTGATTCTCATGCATTCTTCTAGAGATTGTCCCTGTACATGTCACACAGGTGGGTTATGTCTATAAACCTTTCCACACAAAATATTGAAATATAGCTTAAAGTCAGTCTCCATCAGGTAAGAGCTGCCTCATAATTTATCAAGGCTGTGGCACCTTCCACTGAAGGTACACACACACCACACACATCCACTCAGTTCGCACTGATGGACATTTAGACTGCTTCCAATCTCTAGCTACCATAAATAATCCTACAATGAATACAGTATCCTTGTACATTACCATATTGCATATGTACAAGTTTTATCTGTAAGATAAATTCCTAGAAGCAGAACTGTTGGGTAAGAGAGTTATGTGTGACTTTTATTTTGACACGTTGCCAAGTAACTCTCCCAAAAAGCAGTACCAATTTATACCTTCTCTACCAATCACTGAGACTACCTGTTCCCACACCCCCATAACAGTGTGTAATCAAAACCTTCTTCCCATCTTTATCAATCTACATCTGTCAGATTGATAAAGTGGGAACTGAGTGGTTGTGTGTGGTGTGCGTGTCCCTTCAGTGGAAGATGCCACAGCCTTGACTTGTTTGTGGCTTACGTGTAGTCTTAATTTGTATTTTTGTATCAGTAAAGTTGTGAATAGTTTGATTTTTCATGGAACTGTAGGCTAATTTATCCAATAGAGTTGTGGAATATCTTCACGCATTAAGGAAATTAGGCCTTTTGTATAAGTTAGAAAATTTTCTTCCACTTTTCATTTGTTCCTTGATTTTTCTTAATGTTTTCTTAAATAGAAGGTGCTAGATGAACTTCTATTGAATAAATAAGCTATTTAGTAAATAAGTAAAATGTATTAGTGTTTAAAAGTTTTCTGTCATACTTAGTCCTTTTCCATTCCAGGATTATTTTTTAAATTCCATGTTTTCTTCAAATATTTTTATGAATTCCATTTTCAAGCTTTTCATTGTGGAGAATTTCAAACATACATTACATAGTGTATAGTGTAATTAACCCATTGTCCCATACCCATGACCCAAATTGAACAACTTAATAAGTCTTGTTCAATCTGTTTTATCTCTATCCTCTTCTAGGGTTTAATTTTTACATTTAAGTCATCAATCCAATGGGTGTTTTTTTGGCATAAAGAAAAAGATATGGATTCAATTTAACTGGTTTTTAGATGTCTACACAATTGTCCCAATACCATTTGTTAAAACCTCCATCCTTCCTCCATGGATTTGAAATGCCACACTTATTATACACTGAATTCCCATATATATTTGGGTCTATCTTTAGACTTTTAATTCTGTGCCATTAAACTACCAGTTCATGTGACAGTACTACACTATTCTAACTACTATAGATTTATAATATATTCATATATGTTGGAGCTAGTCACTCTTATTTCTCCCCTTTTTAGAAGTCTCCTGACTATTCTTATTTGTTTTTTTACATACTAATTGATAATCATTTTTAGATTACAAATATATACAACTATTGACAGTATTTTACTGGGGTGGCATTAAGTTTGTAAATTAAGTGAGAACTGACACCTCATGCTGTTACATCTTCCTATCCAAAATAATCTAAGCATTCCTATTGAAGTCTAATTTTGAATCCCTCATAACAGGTTTTATTTTTTCATTAAGTTGTAGCAGAATTTCACATGGTAAAACACACAGATTGTAAGAAGAGCCTACTTCAATGCATCTGGACAATTAATCCCCGAGTTTAGATTCACAGTTTCAAGTGTGTGTGTGTTAAGGCGTAGGGAAGGACAGCAGCATTTTAAAGTGTTCTCCTAAAAGAATTTGAGAGCCGGGCTAGGTGGCCTGTAATCCCGTGCCTTTAAGAGGCTGAGGTGAGTGGATTGCCTGAGCTCGTGGGTTCGAGACCCGCCTGGGCAGCGAGACCTCATCTCCACAATAAATCAAAAAATCAGCCAGGTGTGATAGCGCATGCCTGTAATTCCAGCTACTTGGAAGGCTGAGGCGGAAGAATCGCCAGAGCCCAGCAGGTCGAGGCTGCGGTGGCCGGGAGCAGCCACTGCACTCCAGTCTGGGCGACAGAGTGAGATTCCAACTCAAAAAAAAAAAAAAAAAAAACTTGCACATTTCTTATAAAGTTTATTCTGGAGTCTGACTTCTTCCTGTTATATACAAGAACAGCTGTCTGTTTTCTAAACTCACAAACTATAAGATAGAAATTAAAGCTTTTACTTTAAAGCTTTTAAACAGAAATTATTCTGACTTTACAAACAGACAACTGATTACAACCCATAACACACACACACACACACACACACACTTTTTTGTTAATAACCACAGTCGTGGAGATGGGGCAAGATGGCGACGGCATAGGTGAACTGGTGAGATTCTCTGAACGGACCAAGACTGCAAACTGCTGAATAGACAGACTGTAAAGCAGAGGGAAAAGTGAACAAAACCAGAAGACCCTCATAAGGAAGAACAGGTCATTGCAGAAGAGAAATAAAAGCAACCCCACCTTCCCTCAAAAACAGAATTGAAGAGGGAGAGACAAAGGGGTAAAGGGAGAAAAATCTACAGAAATGAAAAAAAACCAAAAGAAGTGTATGGGTCTCTCCCAGACGCCTGGGAGAGCAGACACTGAGAAAATTGACTTTGGAATACAAACAATGAAAAGTCCCCAGAATGAAGGGTCTCAAAATGCAAATGTAGATATCAAAACAATAATGGAGAGATTAAAAAGAATTGAGGAGACACAAGAAGAAACTAGGAAGGAGCTGATATCTGAGATAACAGTAATAAAGAATACTGTGAATGAAATAAATAACAAATTGATAAGCATGGAAAGCAGAATTACCCAAGCAGAAGAAAGAATCTCAGAGCTTGAGGACCAAAATATAGAAATAACCCAAACTCTTAAAAACACAGAAAATAAGCTAAAAAAGACAGAACAAAACCTTCAAGAGATGAGTGACTACCTCAAGAGGCCTAACCCTAGATAATCGGACTCCCTGAG